CTAGTTCGAGCCCAGAGAAATGACACTTCAGGGCTGGTCGTGCTTGTGTTTAACTTGGTTTTTGCTCCTTTTAAGGCCATGAGGTAAGAAGGCATTCTTTATTGTTTTTTGGTCAATGATAATATCTCTGAGAAAGTTATAAATATTTAAATTTTGTAAAGCACAGCTATAGATTTAATGTTGAATTTCAGCCACAATGTTGAGCTGGTGGTGCGAGCCGCCACTGGTGGTTTGTGGAGATTCCCTGTGAAGTTTGTGGCAGCTGAGCCACCTGTAGATGACACCATTACTATAGAAGCCACGGGTCTTAACAAGGAGTCCAGTGTCGGATTCAGGCTTACTAGTCAGTCCAAGTGAGTATCTATAAAACTTATTACACTTCTTCGAAGAGGATTCGATGGAGAAGATTTAATGAAGTACCTTTTGTTAATAAGTATAGAGGAAGAAAAGAGAACACAGAATTTCTACTAGAAAAGGTCATGAATTTATATTTAACCCTTTTGTAGACACCCTGTAATGTACAATGCCTACTTTGGAGCCGGCAGTGACCCTGAGTTCACCGTCTCTCCGCAGACAGGAGAGCTCCTCCCCCAGGGCACCAATGGGACCCTACTGGCCATCAAGTTCAAACCCGCTCTGTACGGAAAGATCTATCAGGCTAAACTTGTTATTCAGGTAAAAACCTAATTATCATTTTGGCAATTTATTATTTCTTATATGTAACATTTTCAAGATTTGTATGAACAAAGAGACATATGTGTCATATTTAATGCTATGTACACAATTACATAAAAAAAAATTGAACTCTAATTTAGACACCAGATATGCAGTGGAGCTATGATGTGAAGGGAGTATTACCAGAATATAACCCTCCGCGGGGTAAATCTGCTCAACCTATCGCTGGGCCCCACCCAGATCCGCGAGTCAGGGGCGAGAAAACAAACTACATCCGTGAAAATCTCAGGCTGACTACAACAGCTGTCTCCTCGCCCATCAAAGGAGCCCCCCTACTGCAAAGATCTCTTAAACTGTGAACAGTTCTTGTGTTTTATAGGACGTAATATTTAAAAAGTCAACCAAATGTTTCTTCCACTGATCTTATTTTGCCCTTAAGAAGCAAGGCAGATAAAGAAATCTTAATCTTATTTTGTTATACCTGGATCTGTTATTTAACTAATGTTGTACCCAAATATCCTTGAATATAGTCATAATTGATATACATATCAAATGCGCATTATCGAATTGTTTTGTAAACAGGGTTTTCCGTCCATAGTGCATGTGATACAGACAGTGTCAAGTTTGAAGATTGTACATGTATGATATTTTCTACCAGTAGAAACACTATTTTATTTTTGTATATTTTATGTTTACACTTGATTGCATTTTCTGTTATTTTTCTATAAATGTATGTATGTTTGTTTGTGGCTGAATTGTGAATGTTCTTTAAACAAAATCAATAAGCACTGCAAAAGTTGATACAGTACACATATATATATATATGCAGTTTTTAGTTTAGAAAAAAATCCCAACTCTTGATGAAACCACCACATGTCCTTATTGTCATGTGTCATGACACAAATGTATGCTGCAGCTGTCAAAAACCTTTGAGGAGTTTGCCAAATGTTTACTTGTCTGCATTGCTGTGAAAATAACTGTGATAAAAAGTCACTTTTTGTTGACAATAATTTTATTATACATGTATTTATATTTATTGTCTATTAAACTATTTCAATAAAAAAACTTGAGATGAAACACCATGTCTGTTTTAATTAAAACATTTGTTTAGGTTGATTTGATTTCTGTTTCTTTCTGGATAGGATGATATAAATTGGTTCATAGCAGGGGCATAAAGAGTCTTCTTCATAAATTTTTATTGAATACATTAGCATGGAAGGATTTTACTATCCCACAAAAATAAGGAAAAACCTTTCAAAACATTTTTTTATGATGCAATACAATTTGTTTTATCTGTACGATGTATATTTGTTTATGGAACAAGCCAATATGTATAGTTTAGCACCCACCATCTCAAATGTTTGGATAAGATTAATTAAATAATGTGGGGTTGATGAACGATGCTGGAAAGTGGTGAAATTAACCCCCAACCCCAAATATATATTACAGATCTGCAGCTAAAGTGAGCTTTTCTGATCACATTTTGTCTGTCGTCCATCCGTCCGTCTGTCTGTCCGTCCGTCTGTACTTCTTCTCAAGAACTAGTGAAGGGCCAAGTCCCCTCACAAGGGGAGATAATCAAGAAAAGACAAAAATAGGGTGGGGTCATTAAAAAATCTTCTTCTCAAGAACCACTGGGCCAGAAAAGCTGAAACTTATGTGGAAGCATCCTGGAGTAGTGCAGATTGTAAATTGTAAAAATCATGACCCCCGGGGATAGGGCAGGGCCACAATGGGGAATCAAACTTTTACATAGAAATATATAGGAAAAATCTTTAAAAATCTTCTTCTCAAGAACCACTGGGCCAGAAAAGCTGAAACTTATGTGAAAGCATCCTTAGGTAGTGCAGATTGTAAATTGTTAAAATCATGACCCCCGGGGATAGGGCAGGGCCACAATGGGGAATCAAACTTTTACATAGAAATATAAACTGAAAAATCTTTAAAAATCTTCTTCTCAAGAACCACTCTCAAACTTATGTGAAACATTCTTAGGTAGTGCAGATTTTAAATTGTAAAAATCATGACCCACGGGGATAGGGCGGGGCCACTGTTTTACATAGAAATATATAGGAAAAATCTTTAAAAATCTTCTTCTCAAGAACCAAGCCAGAAAATGAAACTTATGTGGAAGCATCCTGGGGAAGTGTAGATTCTAAATTGTTAAAATCATGACCCCCCAGGGATAGGGCGGGGCCACAATGGGGAATCAAACTTTTACATAGAAATATATAGGAAAAATCTTTAAAAATATTCTTCTCAAGAACCACTGGGCCAGAAAAGCTGAAACTTATGTGGAAGCAAAGATTCTAAATTGTTAAAGTCATGACCCCCGGGGGTTGGGCAGGGCCACATTGAGGAATCAAAGTTTTACATAGAAATATAAAGGAAAAATCTTTGAAAATCTTTTTCTCAAGAACCACTGAGCCAGAAAAGCTGAAACTTATGTGGAAGCATCCTGGGGTAGTGTAGATTCTAAATTGTAAAAATCATGATCCCCGGGGGTTGGGCGGGGCCACAATGGGGAATCAAAGTTTCACATAGAAATGTATAGGAAAAATCTTCTTTGCAAGAACCATTGGGCCAGAAAAGCAGAAACTTATGTGGAAGAATCCTGGGATAGTGTAGATTCTAAATTGTCACCCCCGGGGGTGGCCACAATGGGGAATCAGAGTTTTACTATGTTGAATCAAAGCATCCTATGGTAGTGTAGATTTCAAATTGTTTAAATTATCATCAGTTGGGTAGGGTGGGGTCACAACATGTATAACAAGGGGGAAATCTGGTAAAGAACGGAATGTTCAAAGCTTCTCAGGTGAGCGATGTGGCCCATGGGCCTCTTGTTTTATGATACAATACAATTTGTTTTATCTGTACGATGTATATTTGTTTATGGAAAAGGGAGCAGCCCACCATCTCAAATGTTTGGAAAGGTGGGGGGATCCCCAACCCTATTAACCCCCAACCCCAATATTACGTGCCTGCATATGTAAAGTACTTACAGTACAATAACTATTTTGAAACAAGCAATCTTTGACATGAAGAAAACAGACTCTCAGAGTGTCACACATAAATTCTTGTGTATTCTGTTTGGTAAAATTAAATCTATTGGAAATTATAGAATTTTGCAGAAAATTAAGTAAATGTTTTGAAATAAGTACAGAAGATTTGAGGCAATCAGACTAAGAGCTTGGCCCATAAGTCTTGGTATTTTTGGTGTTTATGTAGATGGGGTTATCGAGTTGACATTGCGAGATATGAATGCCTTCATCAGTGGCAAATACCTCAGGTATTCTGTTGCTTTCCCTGACTTGGTTAGTTATGGAGTCTCTCATTAGCATAGTCAAGCAAACAGAAAAAAGAAGAGTTCCAGGGATCACAAGGGTGTAAGGGGTGAGTACTGTGAATATTTCCCTCCCTTCCGTTTCTGGCTTAGCATGAAAAATTCATGAATTTCTCGATACAACTCAGATTATTTCATATGTTCCAAGATATTGATTGGATTTGACAGCATTATGGATTAAGACAACATTTTAAACAAATAAATTTATTGAAAGGGACTTAAAAGTTTACATCTTTCTAATCAAAACTTTGGATTACACAATATTCGGATTAAACAAGTTTGACTGAATTGTCAATTTCAAAGTCTGGCATCTTTGCTAGCCAATTTTTTCCAATACACAACTCTCCTCAAAAAACTTGGCCTAGGGTGTTGAAAAAAGTTGGGATTTTTTTCTTGAGTTGTGATTGGAGTTGATCTGACATTGTTCAGCAATTGTTTTTTGTAAATGATGATATCTGTGTTTGGGATAGATCTTGATCTTCAATCTATGGAAGGAAAAACTCGAGGAACAACGATCATTCAAGTAGCATACTATTTTACGAATGGAAAAAGGTTTCAGCCAATATCTTTATGCAACGTCCAATTACGTGATTAACAATCTAGATTGAGGATGTGAATTTGCACCTCAAATAAGAAATTACCATAACTCAATATGTTCTTGTTAATTTTTCTACAGAAAACACATTTTACATTGTATTTCTGTCAATGACGCAATCTGTGCGTACCTGATAAGATTAGAGATCATGTGACGAAAACAAACCCTTCTTTTGTCAGCACCATTGGCCAAGGGTTTATTAAACCCTTGGCTAGCAAAGACAGAAGTCTTGGGAAAGAGGTCAAATCTTATTTTGTTTCATAAGAGAAACACTTCTGCAGGAAAGAAATCGTACTGATTTGATATGTTGCAAAGTAGTTTGATGTTAAATGATACAATGACAGGACTTCAGATTGACACATCACTCTTAAAAACTGACAAAGACAATTTGTACTCTCCAGGTTTATTTCTCCATGACTTACAGTATATGAATTTGTAAATCAAATGTACTGGTACAATGATTTTTATCAATAAAAATGAGAAAAATCAAGATTTCTACACATAGAATAATTTTTTCTTGATTTCAAACATGGAATATAACAAAAATTCTCATCCACTTCTACTGTTATTAAGAAATCTTTGAATGATAAACAGACTTGCATGAATTTGTCAACAGGTATGTTTTCTCACTATATGATCCTGCACAAGAAATTTTTTAACATTCATCTTACAATCAAAGTATCAAAGTATAGCTGCAATAAGGCAAAATAAGTCGAAATTATATATGTAATACAGCCATGACAATTTTTTTTTCATGAAAAAATACCCCCTTTGTCCCCAAAATACTTTTCCTACAATAAACAATCATAAATCATCTAATTCTCTGGCAAACATATACACATGAAATTGCTAATCCCAATTTCACAAAGGAAATTTTGATAACCTGTTAAAAGAAGTATTTTTCTTCATCATTGAAAATATGGAAAGCTTCAACATTTGATAAATTTCAGACATTTTATAGAACACATTTACAGAAATTATTCGTTTTAAATCCAGATTTTGTACATCAAAGAATTAACACATGGTCTATGAGGTCTCCTCTTTCTCTATTCACTGTCAAACCTTATGGAGTAGACATTTGTGTCTATAGCTCCTCCTGCATAACTTCCCCTCTTTTTCTTGGTCTTTTCGTGCCTGAATGATTTGCCCTGTGTGAACTTGAGGTCACGGTTGGCCTTTTCTCCCCAGGACCCAGCCGATCCTTTCTACAAAGTACCAGATTTGTCATCAGTATTACCTATACCTGTAATGTTTTCCATAAAATTCTGACAAATCAGTAAAAAGATGGATTCACCAAGATGCCCCTGTGGCCTTGATCTCAAGGACCAACTGAGTATAATGGTATAATGCATTATATTTTAATTCAGACATATGGTTACACATCTTAATACATAATAAAAGTACCTTGAGCACACTCACAAAATTACCTTCCTCCCCCCCCCCCTCCAGTTTTTATGATTCCTAAGCACATTTTTTTCTGTAACTGAACTTGAACTTGTCAAAATTTAATCAGCATGGGTTTTGATTATGCCGTAATGACAAACCGATTACATAATGTCTACCTTACTGAAATCAGACTTTTCTTTGCAAGTACAGAGCGTTCACCTTTTTACACTTGTAGACTTCAAGGTACTTTACCTTAGCTTCAAATGAATTGTCTGCCAGCCTGGAGTCTACTGTTATCTTCTCAGATTGTACTCTCCTGAATGGAGTGTTAGGTGTTTTCTGCTATTTTAAAATAAATGTTATTGATAAATTTCTTACACTTTTTTTTGTGTATAATTTCTAGATTAGAATTATGTATAAATGAATGTTGCAGATCTTTTTTATGTGTTACATTTAATATGAGGTTCATTTTTTTCTTTATCCTTCACAAAGATTACATGGAGTAACTATTCTCTTTATGGATAACAAAGAGGTAGCCAAGAGGCCCATGGTCCACAACACTCAGCTGAGTATTTGTCCCTGCTGTTATTCATCAGATTGTGGCCCTACCCTACCCCTGGGAGTCATAATTTGAACAATGTATAGACTATAGCAGAATGCTTCCAAATAACTTTCAGCTTTTCTGGCACAATAATTCTTGAGAAGAAGATTTTAGTTTTTCTTTATATTTCAATGTAAATCTTTGATTCCTGATTGTGGCCCCACCTTACCCCAGGATTCATAATTTGATCAATTTAGAATCTACACTACCCCAAGGTGCTTCCACATGGGTTTCAGTTTTTCGGTCCCCGTGGTTTTTCTTCATAAGATTTTTTAATGACTGCGCCATATTATTGTCTTTTCTTGAATATCTCCCCTTGCAAGGGGGCTTGGCCCTTCATTTTTAAATTCCCCTCACCTAAAACTGCTTTGTGCCAACTTTTGGTTAAAAACTGACCCTGTGATTCTTGGTGAACTTAAAATATACTTAAAAATAAAGTGAATACCTTAGACTTAGCCGAGCCTTTACTGGCTTTCTGGTTGAGGGAATTGTCAGAATTTTCATCCTGAAAAAAGGAAGGAAAAATATTAAGAATTAACAAGGAATATTGTCTGTGTCTTTAAATGATTATTAGACATAGAAACTCCTACACTGTTCAATTAGACAGTCTTCTTCTATCATTAATTTCCTTAGCACTTTCTCTGAAATGAATGTCAGTTTTTACGTAATAACACTCAAACAGCGATATAATATGCATTCAATGTGGTTAAGACAATATTCTGATAAATTAATAAGACTCTACACATCTGGGCTAATACACACATATAATAACTATTTCATGAAATATCTATATACCTGTAGCTAACATGAAGTTACATTCACTTAACACATTCATATGCAGCTGTTTTATTCGTTGTATAAGAATCCCACAATTAAGACTTTATATTTACATCCACTGAATATTATTTCCTTTATTTCTTATGAAGACCATTGCTGTTAATCAGTTCATGAACAACACTAAGCAAGCCACCTGCAGATTTCTTAAGCAATGACTGTTCTATCAATTATGCATACAATGACATACACATCCATAATACAATATTTTTTACTTAGAATTTTTTTATAAAGATATTAATATAACAATAAAATGTCTTTTTTTTTTTAGATTAACACACCTGAGTCATTTTGTGAACCAATCACCATATTTGAAGTGAACCTGAGATATTTTCAGAACCAATGTACTCACCTTATTTGACGTGAACACCCCAGAATCATTGTCTGAACACACCCCATTAACAGCTCCATTCACCACAGGAGTAGAGGTGGTAGGCCCTTTGACTTTCTGTTTGTTTCCTGGTGTTTTCTCTTCATCATCACTGGAGTCTGATGAACTAGAGTCACTGCTTGAACTGTCTTTTTTATTTTTATTATTCTTTGAGTCTTTTGTTCCTTTTTTAACGGGTTCTTTTTTATTAGCACCTGCTTTCAGGGTTGTGGCTTTCTTCACAGTTTCTTCTTCTGAAGAATCTGAAGAGTCACTACTAGAACTCTCCTGTTTCTTTGTTTTAGGTGTTGTTTTTATCGGACTTTGCTTGGCGGCCACTTTAGGAGTGGCTGACTTATTATCAGGTTCATCATCTGATGAATCAGAAGAGTCACTGCTGGAGCTTTCTTTCTTTGCAGGAATTGTTTTCCCTGGAGTCTCTTTTCCTCCTGCTTTAGCAGCAGAAACTTTCTTTGCAGTATCTTCCTCAGTGGAATCTGAAGAATCACTGCTAGAACTACTTTCCTCCTTCTTTTTCTGGGCTGCAGTTTTCTTGGCTGGTGTAGATTTAGCCGGTGTTTTAGGTGTAGCGGCTTTCTTTACTGGCTCTTCATCTGATGAATCTGAAGAATCACTACTTGAGCTGTCTGCCTTCTTCTTTTGTACAGGAGTTGACTTTCCTTTTGGAGTTGTTTTAGGCACTGTTGCACTTCCTTTTGGAGTTGTCCTCTTTCTTTTTTTAGGCACTGTTAGAAGTTGCTTTTTGCAACTTTCTTTTTTGGTTCTTCATCTGATGAATCTGAAGAATCACTGCTTGAACTTTCCTCTTTCTTTTTAGCAGGAGTTGACTTGGCAGGTGTTGCTGGTTTAGAAGTTGCTTTAGGAGTGGCAACTTTCTTTTTTGGTTCTTCATCAGATGAATCTGAAGAATCACTGCTTGAACTTTCCTCTTTCTTTTTAGCAGGAGTTGACTTGGCAGGTGTTGCTGGTTTAGAAGTTGCTTTAGGAGTGGCTACTTTCTTTTTTGGTTCTTCATCTGATGAATCTGAAGAATCACTGCTTGAACTTTCCTCTTTCTTTTTAGCAGGAGTTGACTTGGCAGGTGTTGCTGGTTTAGAAGTTGCTTTAGGAGTGGCTACTTTCTTTTCTGTTCTTCATCTGATGAATCTTACTGAAGCTGTCCTCTTTCTTTTTAGCAGGAGTTGACTTGGCAGGTGTTACTGGTTTAGAGCTTGCTTTTTGTGTTACTGCTTTCTTTCCAGGCTCTTCATCTGATGAATCTGAAGAATCACTGCTTGAGCTGTCCTCTTTCTTTTTAGCAGGAGTTGACTTGGCAGGTGTTACTGGTTTAGAGCTTGCTTTTTGTGTTACTGCTTTCTTTCCAGGCTCTTCATCTGATGAATCTGAAGAATCACTGCTTGAACTTTCCTCCTTCTTTTTAGCAGGAGTTGACTTGGCAGGTGTCCCTTTGGTAGTTACTTTGGGTGTAACACCTTTCTGTTTCACCTCTTCATCAGAAGAACTGGAAGAATCACTGCTTGAGTCTGCTTTTTTCTTTTTCTGTGTAGGAGTGGGCTGCAATGGCTTCTTCTTTGAAACTGTTGTTAAAGCTGCTGATTTTTTTGTTGGCTCTTCTGATGATGAATCAGATGAAACACTGCTTGAACTCTCTGTTTTCTTTGCCTGGGTTGGATTTGGTTTGGCAGATGAAGCTTTAACACCACCTTTTGGTGTTGTTATCTCTTTTGTAGTTTCATCATCTGATGAGTCTGATGAATCACTACTGGAGCTTTCAGCTTTCTTCTTTTTAGGAGCTGCTTTTATGATTGAGTTCTTGCCTGTCTTAGTAACAGAGGCTTTTGATGGTTCCTCATCAGATGAATCAGAGGAGTCACTGCTAGAGCTGCTCTGCGTCTTCTTTGCTTCCACTGATTTGGGGGGTCCTTTAGTTGTTACTTTTCCTGGGGTCACTTTCCCTCCTGCTTTAGCTGCAGTAGCTTTCTTTGCAGGTTCTTCCTCAGAGGAATCTGAAGAATCACTGCTAGAACTACTGTCCTCCTTCTTTTTCTGGGCTGCAGTTTTCTTGGCTGGTGTAGATTTAGCCGGTGTTTTAGGTGTAGCAGCTTTCTTTACTGGTTCTTCATCTGAGGAATCTGAGGAATCACTACTTGAGCTGTCTGCCTTCTTCTTTTGTACGGGAGTTGACTTTGCACTTCCTTTTGGAGTTGTTTTAGGCACTACTGCTTTTGATTTTGGTTCTTCATCAGATGAATCTGAAGAATCACTACTTGAACTTTCCTCTTTCTTTTTAGCTGGAGTTGAATTGGCAGGTGTTGCAGGTTTAGAAGTTGCTTTAGGAGTGGCTACTTTCTTTTTTGGTTCTTCATCAGATGAATCTGAAGTATCACTTTTTGCTTGAGTTGAATTGGCAGGTGTTGCTGTGCTTTAGGAGTGGCTACTTTCTTTTTTGGTTCTTCATCAGATGAATCTGAAGTATCACTGCTTGAGCTGTCCTCTTTCTTTTTAACAGGAGTTGACTTGGCAGGTGTTGCTGGTTTAGAATTTGCTTTTTTTCCAGGCTTTGATTTCGGTGTAGCAGCATTTTTACTTTTATTCAAAGAGGAAGGTGGGGGAACTGCATTGTAAGATGTATTTTTAGCATTCGCTACTTTCTTTTCATCCTCTGAATCCGAATCAGAAGAACTATCATCTGACTTTTTAACCATTTTTGGAGCTTTTTTTACGAGGGGTTTCTTGGCCTTGGGTTTATCGTTTTCAGTATCTGAACTTTCCGAATCGGAATCGGAATCTGAGGTTCCACTCTGTGCTTTAGCTGGAGTTCCTTTCTTTGCCTGAGGAGTGCCTGGTTTCTTAGCTTGAGGGGTAATCTTTTTCTTTTTCCCTGGTTTGGCGTCTGAATCTGATGAGTCACTCTCTCTGTCCCTCTTTTGGGTTTGTTTAGGAGTCTCATTTTCAGAGTCACTGTATATATTGTAAAGATTATCAGCCACTTATAGACTAAAGAGAATATGTTGCATCAAGTTAAGAATACCTTCTAAGGTTGTCATTGTGGACATACTGTAAACCAACTTTTATTCGCATGTGAGAAATTTCTGCGAAGTTCCCGAGAGCCTCATCATCGTGAATGTTTCTTGCAGCAAACCTGTCCTTAAAGTGTATGTGTCTATTAATAAAAGATCCAAGAAGGCTTGATCGCAAAAATTTATCATCGCGAACTCGTTTGTCCCCAGTAAATCGCGAAATAAAGTCATCGCGAATAAAAGTTGGTTTACAGTATATCAATTTACAAAATGAAAATCTTTTCAATACATTAAAAGATTAAGAACACAATCACTAAAACACTACAGAACTAGTACTGGTCATTGGTAAATGGTAAGTAATGTGAAACTGTATCATTTTCTGTATTATGTATGTCTAACATACCTTGAGGAGTCACTTGAAGACGAGTTTTGTTTTGACTTCTTTGAGGCTGGAGAACCATCAGATGAATTCAGTTTTCTTTTGTCACCCAATCTACATGAAAAAACAGATCTTAAGTACCCTTAAACTGATCCCTCTAATTGAAAATAACAAACTGCACTATTCCAACAGTTGCCAAGATGATTACTGGTACCAATTCATTACTGTTGGTCACCAATGGTAATAAATTGCTACAAACTGCAATATGAAAAAGTTAAGTTTTTTACCATTTTTCAGAAAAATTCTGTTTATTGCACTGCTTAAATCTTATGACATAAATTTATATGTTTAACACTCGTGCAGTTCAAAATTATTGGTTAACTGGTGTATTCCGATTTTGTTCTTCACAAATACATATCGCTGTATTTTTTTGTGAAAAGGTCTGTTAACGTAATGGGAGAATTGCCCATAAAGTTTCATCAAGAAATCCTGCCAGACCATGTCTAAAACACTTGAACAGGTTGGGCACACCCCACCAAATGGTCCTTTATCCCCCGTTCGGTAAACAATCGGTGTCGAATTTAACTGACCAAGTGGTGGACTTTTTTATTCTATTTCAGCAATTTTCATTAAAATAAAGCAAAAGTCATTTGCATAGGCATTGGGGAATTTTAGTGAACATGTTCCTCGCACAATTAACATGAATCGGTGGAATTTCCATGTGCATGCAATTTCTCCGTAACTTCTGTAAAAATGATACCCATATTTTTCCGTAACAGCCGAACTTCTTGATCAATCGATCCAAAAAAATTATTGTGCTATTTTGGATAAAAATTCAATTTTGTCCAGTGGTTTAACTCTTGATAAGTTAACTTTCAATCTATATTTAGATTTTTGTAAATATATATCTCCATAAAATCCTGTCAAACACGAGCTCCTCATGCTTTACCGGTATGGTGGGCAATTACTGCTATAAAGTTATATTTTTCTAGAGTTGAACGAAATATTTGTTGTTATTTTTCTTTTAGGATGAAGTTGCAGATTCCATGCGACCTTTTGTGGTTTACTATGCATACAACTGATGAGTTTAATTTATTTAATAAATAATTTTCAATAAAAGATTCACAAAGTGACTTTTGCAATTATTCTTGTTTTTGTACCAAGTACATACTAGTTTTAAAACAATAGTTATATCACAATCCAATTGCATTTATTATTGTTATAGAACAAAGGCATACAAAATAAAATGAAATAAAGGCGAAAACTTATTTTTCTTTTGATTTCCTAATTGAAAATTAACAAAAATGTGCCTCTGTAGTTAAATCCAACTTTTGATCAGGCTGAAAAAAGATCGTCGTTTTCACTGGTTTGCACTATTTAAAAGCGAAATAGAAAGTAAAGAACATGATTGCATTATCTGATTGATTGCCCAGTTAATCGAAATAGAAAGTAAAGAACATGATTGACAGGTGCAGCATCATTGGAGAAGAAGAGAATTTCCTTTTAAAGTATAAAAACCGAGAGATATTGCACTTGTTTACAAATGAGACGTCTCAGTCAAATTTTTGACTGAACGATCTTTCACAAAAAATTGCATGTTGAATTTCCAATTTTTTTCACTCAGAACAACGATAAATATCTATATTTTATTCCACATATCTTAAAATTATGTGCCATTCCACGCAACTCCATGGAATTGAACACAACCAATTTTCTCCCCCAAATGGTCAGTAAATTTCGCCACCGATAAGGGAGATTGACTACCAAACGGGGGATGAATGACCATTTGGTAGGTTGTGCCCAACCTGTTGAAGATCAACGACCCCTACTTACTTTGTAGATAGAATGTTCTATCGTTAAAATGATATTGTCCTACGGACCCGGTTTAACGATAGAATTCGTTCCGTGTATTCGTAATGTAGCAGAAAGAAACACGGGCGATAACTCGCATAGTGCATTTACTTGGAACAATCTAGAGAGTTCCGAATGTAAACATATCCGGTAATTTGAATCGAGAGAAAAACGTTGAAAAAATTAATTGGATTTTCGTATTTATATGGATTATTTTTTGGGATAAAAGGCATAAGCAATCTCAAGAAGGTTTGTTTTGATTATTTTGGTAGTTATTCCCAGTGCAAATCATTTTATATTCTTCAAAATCGTTTCGGAGCGGATCCGCTCCGATTTGCTACATTACAAGTATATGGGACGTATTCTAACTGTGGTGAGGGCCTGTACCGAGACACAGTTAGATTATTCTAACTACTTACTTTGCTGCCGACCACTGTACATATATTTGCTGAAGCTTTGGTGATCCTGCAGGAGGAGGCTTCTGTAAAGAAAGTAAAAATCTGATAATCAAAGACCCAAAACACACCAATCTTTCTACCAAAAAAATGCACGTGGCTAAATACGTAACACGTGCTTTTGTTTTGGTTAGCTTAAAAACAACACTTGAATGCGAATACTCCATGTCATTGTATAAAATCATAAATCAAAACATACGGTTTTTAATTTTTTCTTAAATGCTTCAGCGACATCTTGGCAATATTCTTTTAGAAAGTCATAAACCAAGGGAAGAAGTGTCTTAGGATTGCTTTCACCACCAGTTGCCATTTTGCAAGCGTTCAAAGGACAGAGGATTCAGAGTAGCGTGCACGCTTTATTTCGACTGTGTCGATTTACCCATAGGACCAAAACGAACCCCGAACATTCTTAAAAGGCCCTAAACTTGCTAAAAGACAGTTTGAAAGAACATAAAATAAAAATATAGTAAATTATGACTGATTGGGGTTACAATTATTTCAAATTATGGTTTTATATCTATTTATTGAGATTTACTCCCTAGTGGACAGGTTTTCGCCTACATCGCGGCCTGCCAAACTTTAAAGAGAATACATATAATTCATTCCCGAACCCCTCCTTTCTATAAACTCTATCTCTCATCTGTAATGATAGTCGCCAGATCCATTGTTGCAAAATATTCCAAAACACTACATGACCTACAAAACACCGATTAATTAATAGGTATAGGGAAAAATTATTTTTAATAATTTAATAACAAGTGTACCTGATTTTTAAATGCAAAGGATCAAACTTCTTTTAAATAATTAAATGCAAAAGATTAAACTGTGCGATCCCATTCGATAGATAGTCGAATAGTCGAAAACTTCTGTTTTATATTTTGATCGTATTTAATTGGAACAAAGGTGGATTATGCGTTATGATGTCTTCGATATAAAAAGGGAAATGTCGAAGTTTCGAAAATAATAAGTACATACCTTTAATGAAGGTCATATTATAGGACATCTAATAATTAGTAATTAGTAATTAGATATCTGTCCTGTAAGAAATACTCTGAAATTAATTCAAAGCAGTTGATAGAGGATTACCAGAGAAATTTTCAAAAATATAATTACTCGAACAGTAATTTATGAATGAACAAGATGTGTTCGTGAAACACTTTGCGCCCGGCGGCAACAAAGCAAAAAACTATTTTTAGCATATAGGCCACAGTCAAGGTCACAAGGTCATTGAATTAATGCTATTTGAAAGAACTTTAGTATAGGAGTATACATACCTTTATGAAGTCTATATCTCCTATGGTTCAAATTTTATGGCAAAAGTTCGAAAATAGCTATTTTTAGCATTAAGGTCACAGTCAAGGTCACAAGGTCAATGACTTTGGTGTCATTTTGTATGAGCTTTATTAGTGAAGTATGCATACCAAATATGAAGTCTTATATGATTCGAAAGTTATGGCAAAAGTTTGTAAAAGCTATTTTTAGCACGTAGGTCAAAGTCAAGGTCACAAGGTCATTGACCTTGGTGTCTTTTGAAAGAACTTTATTAGTGGAATATGCATATTAAATATGAAGTCTCTATATCTCAAGGTTCAAAAGTTATGGCGAAGGTTAAAGTTTTCAGCAGACAAACAGACATGCAAACAATATACGCCTCGGATCTATCGATTCGGGCGCATAAAAATGTAATGAGGTTTATGAGGAAAAGCATATTTTTGGGAAAAAAATGAATACTATGAATATCAAAAAATGCTATGGTGGAAAGAAGTATATATAATTAATAAAGTCTGCTAAATGGCTGTGTGATGCGTAGAGTGTGTGTGTCTGTCTGCGTCTATGCTTGTCACTCTCGCTTTCAGCTCCACCCCTGGCTAGCAGCTTGCTGTGAAAAATAAGCAAAATCTTATTTTTAAGACAGTCTTCCCTGCCAGTTGCAACCTCTCCATAGTTAGACCTATGTGTCCCAGATATGGGATCCACCTCGAGATAGCAGATGGATATTGGGTACCTTGCAATCCCAAGCAGAACCACATGCAGGGTCTTGGAGGAGACTAGGCCCATAAATGCACTGCATGTATGGCCCACGGTGAGTGGATATGCCCTGGTGCCTGTAATCCTAGTTCCCAACAATGAACTACTGTCTTGTAGATACCTTTGGGAGAAGGAAAGACTAAGGAGTAAACCCTACAGAAATCTGGAGTAAATACCATGAGGCTGTTGGTGTAACCACACTTCTGGCAACTCTCTCCGTGCCACGGAAAATGGCCGTCCAGGTGGGGACGTTAGCCCGGTAAGGCAGCTACCTAGGAGAAGATAAACTCTTACTGAAAAATCACGGACATATTTTAGACATTTAAAGCCATAGATCTAGTGGAAGGACACCATATACCCTGGTCCTCCAGGTTGGGAATTGGGCGCAGGGTTAACAACCCTGCCCTGTAAAAGGAGAAAGTTACCGAAACAGCAACAAGAAAAACCTTTACTACATCGTGTGAAAGGCCTTCCGAGTTAAATGAGACTCGTATGAATGCTGGCAATCAAAGCCATAAGGACGTTACCAGAATGGGAGAGGACCTGAACACCACCACAATCAAGCTCAGACTAGGGCACCGGAATGTGAGGACAATGTACGAGACAGGCAAGCTGGCACAGGTAACATCTGAGATGAGACAGTATAACCTCCATGTTCTAGGTGTGAGTGAGAACAGATGGACGGGATCTGGAAAGATGAAATCCACCGCCGGAGAAACTGTCCTCTTCTCTGGGAGAGATGACAACCTACACCATGAAGGAATGGCCGTCATACTCAGGAAAGGTGTAGAGGGGTGCCTGTTGGAATGGAAGCCCATAAATAATAGATTAATTAGTGCAAACATTGTCATCATGGGGGACCTCAATGCAGGGTCGGAAAGGACAACACTGACTATGAAAGAGTAACGGGAAAGCATGGGGCTGGGACCAGGAACGATAATGACGAAAGACTGGTGGAGTTCTGTGCTATGAATAACCGAGTGATAGGAGGAACCTTCTTCACACATCGTGATATCCACAAGCTGACCTGGAACTCACCGAATGGAAGGGACAAAAACCAGACTAACCATCTGATGATCAATTGCATAAGAAGACGCTCTGTATTAAATGTTAGGGTCAAGCGGAGTGTAGACGTAGGCAGCGACCAGCACCTGGTGACAGCACTCATTAAGATCAATCTGAAAAAAGCTGAAGTAAGGCTTAACACTCAAACACGTTTTGACAATCAGAGACTGAGGGACAACACCACGAAGGCTGCCTTCATCATTGATTTAAGAATCAGATTCCAAATCTTGCAAGACACACATGATAAAGGTGAGGAGGCCAATATGGACAACACTTGGAAGCAAGTGACCCAATTGTACACTGAAAGCAGCAAAAAGAAGCTAGGCGTTTGCAAAAGAAACATCAAAAAAGACTGGATCCAGCAGGAGACTCTAATTGCTATAGAGGAGAGAAAGGAAATCAAGAAAAAGATGCTGAAGATCAAGTACCCACGACTGCGTGAGAGGCATGAGGAGCTGTTTAGTGAGGCCAACAAGAGAGTCCAGAAGATTGCACGCCATGACAAGAGAGAAGTCATGGACCAACTTGCAGCTGAGGCAAAGGAAGCAGCAGTACGGGAGAGCAAGGGAGAGTACACAAGATCACAAAACAAGTGTGTGGTAAATTTAGAGGAAACACAGGAGGACCTATCAAGGACAAACATGGAACACTATTGACAACAGAGAAAGAACAAGAAGAGAAAAATGGGCTGAAAACTTTGTGGACTTTAAAAAGGCATTTGACAGCATACACCGAGATAGCCTTTGGAACATCCTACGTCATTGTGGTATTTTATCCAAAATGGTCCACCTAATAAAGTGTTTTTATAACAACTTCCAATACTCAGTAGGACACAATGGCACCTTCTTCGATATTAAAACTGGAGCCAGACAAGGATGCGTAATGCCTGTAGTATTATTCAACTTGGTCATCGATTGGGTCATGCAGAAGACAAAAGGAAACTCTCCAAGGGGAATCCACTGGGGCTTGTTCTCAAAATTGGAGGATCTGGAAATTGCGAATGACCTTGTGCTAATGTCTCACACACACCAACATTTCCAAGAGACGACCAACAGGCTGCAAACCTACGGACAGCAAGTGGGACTTCGCATCAGTATGAAGACAATGACACTTAATGTGGAATTGCCTGCTCCTGTTAGTGTCAATGGTGAAGAACTACGCCAGACAGATAACTTTATTTACCTGGGTAGTATCAAACCCGAGGGCGGCACAAAGGAGGACATCCACAACAGACTTGGCAAGGCCAAGAGAGTATTTAGGGAAATGAATAACATCTGGAGGTCTGCACAGTACAGCACCAGCAGCAAGCCGAAGATTTACCAGAGCTGTGTTGTATCAATTCTCCTTTATGGATCGGAATGCTGGAGAATAAAAGAGACAGATCCTTCCCTACCACCTGCCTCCACCGAATACTAAGGATTTTTTGGTCCCAAATCAAGACCTGCTGAGCAGATGCAGACAAGGGTACAATCATTACCAAACTCTGATGGAGATGGATTGGACATATTCTCCGAAAAGTCCCCCAGTCAACGACTAGAAGAGCACTGCATTGGACGCAAGAGGGCAAAAGAAAGAGGGGGATGCATAGAACATCATGGCGAAGGACAGTTGAAAGCGAGATAAAAGCAATGCATCAGAATTTGGGATCATTGACAAGGCTGGCCCAGAATAGACAAGAGTGGAGGAAGTTTGTTGCTGCCCTACACACCACATGGTGTAACGAACAATGATGTTGATGATAATTATTAAGAAATAAGAATATATAGGTTGAAAAATATTTGTTCACCAGATTTTTTTTTAGAAATGAATATTATTGATTGAAAGCAAAGGTGAATAACGCTTCAAAGACGGGTCAAGGTAAAAAATCAATACACATTTTTTGCTCCTGCATATTTATTCTAAAACACGAAGACTATGTTTATATACTGAGTATTCAGTAATATGTATATGTTATGCATTCAAATGCATTGAATTTGAGGCTGTTATGGATTGGATACCTTAATACGCTATTGTTCCGAAAGTTCTTCAATATAACATGACAAAATCGACATCAACATCACTTATGATTACAGCAGCGTCTGGACACGGTGAGATACTATAGTAATTTAAATGTAAACTACATACGAAAAACAGCCTTCCAACAAGCCACGTAGCATCGAGGGAGGGGGCTTCTATTTTCTGCACATTACCTTTTACTACTGAAATGTACCTTGAAATGCTGAACACCCCCCCCAACACACACCACTTTTTAATTGGTACAAAAATATTTTCACTACACCCCACGAGATAGGATTTTTATTTTTTTTTTTTAACATTTATTTATTTATTTATTTTATTCATAAGGTTTTTTTTCAGGTACGTTGGTTTTTTTCTCTGACTGCCCCCTCCTCCCTTAAAAAACAATGATACGTCACTGCCAATAGAAATAAAAGCATGTTTCCTGCGATTTACTCGTCTATGTCAACTTTCACCATTTTGTCGGAAAAATCAAAACGCGTTTATTCAACTTATTCCATGTTATATTTTAATGCAGTTCTAGGGGAATTTCTTTAATATTGACTTCTACAGCGTATTACCCACATCGTAAAAACATTGTTTAAATTTAATCATTTTGAACGTTTTATTTGTCCAATGGATACATGTAAATCAACAGTATGATAAACTTTGATGTAACGAAACAACACCAAACAGACCTAGAACTGAGAGTTTGAATTTGAGCAGATTTAGTTGTGGAAAGAGCGGGGGCTGAAAATACATATGGGAAAGATGGGATGCGCTCCAATTCAGTGAGAAGGGGTAATGCTAGATGAGCAGACACGCAAGCCCAAGAGGCAGCCTGCAGAATCAGAGAAGGAAAGCGAAGGTCAAATGGCCAGCTAGCAGCAAAAAGGAAGAATTGGAGAGAGGTTTGATAGTGATGTAGACACAATCTTAAACGCATCACTGAAAGGAGGAATAGACAAAAAGATCCATCGAAGGCATGGTAACGATAATGTATATCGAAGTAGTGGACAGATTTTGGAAAGGAGGAAAAGCAGCAACCAAGAGGAGAAGCGAATAAGAACAGAAGACAAAGAGGGATGGCCAACATGAGGCGAGAACTGCGACAGCTGGCAAGACGATTTAGAACTTCAGAGGAGGGTGAACGACCTGCTTTGACTGAATTAAGGAGGGACCTTAGAAAGAAACTAAAGATCATGAAAAGGGCAGACAGAATGAGGAAAAGAAGGAAGGAGTGAGCGAGAGCAAGAGTACGATACGATTTACAGCCAACCCATTCCAATTTACATCAGGACTTTTAGGCAGCAAATATCAAAGGATCGGGAAAGCTAACACCTGGAAGAGAGGAATTCGAACAATATTTGAACGATATACATAGCGATCCAGGGGGAAGAAGATTTAGAAGAGTTTGAGAAGCTAATTAAACATAACAATCCAAATTATTTGTTCGACGATATAGAATTAAAGCTGCATAAAGTCAAAGATGTCATCTGGAAGTCTAGAGCTGCTTCATCACCAGGATTAGACGGAATCCCATACAAAGTTACAAGAACTGTCCGAGACTAATTCAATCTATATGGAAACATCTTAGAGTTGTGTGGAGGAAGGGGCAGTTAGCTGACAGTTGGCACCTAGCCAAGGGATTGATTGATTGATTGTATATTGCTTAACGTCCCTCTTGAGAATTTTTCACTCATATGGAGACGTCACCGTTTGCCGGTGAAGGGCTTCAAATTTAGACCTATACTCGGCACTCAGGGTCATTGAGCAGTGATGGTTCTTTATCGTGCCAGCGCCTACCGTGACACGAGACCTGCGTTTTTAAGGTCATATCCGAAAGACCCGTGACTTTCACTTCTAGTGCCGAGCGCTTGGCGAAGGAACAGTCACTACCTATGTTTACGTCTTAGGTATGACGCGGCGCCTCGAACGAGAATCGAACCCGTGCCTCGCGATCACGAAGCGAACGCTCTACCACTGGGTTATCGTGACCGGTCCCTAGCCAAGGGATGTTTCATTGCAAAGGAGGAGGAAACTCAAAGTCACTTAAGCAGTTCCGTACCATTTCCCTGTTGAACACCGAAGGAAAATTTTTCCTGGCTCATATGGCCAAGAGGATGACAACCTATATGCTGTTTAACAAATACATAGACCTGTGCAGAAAGGAGAAGTGCCAGGGGTCTCGGGGTGTGTAAAGCACACAAGTGTTCTGACGGAGATTATACGGAAAGCTAAAGAGATGAAAGAACTGGCAGTAATATGGTTGGATCTAGCCGATGCTAATGGTTCCATGCCCAGTCCAAAGTACACTACAACGCTATCATATGCCAGACAGGGATACGAACGCTGCTTAAGAGTTACTTGACAGGTTTCAATTCCGGTTCACAATTCACAATTAAATTCGGTGGCGGAGATAAACAGAGGAAGGCGTGAGATAGCCCCCTGTCAGAGCGTTCATGGACGATATGACAATAAGCAATAAACACAAAGACTATCATAGAGGCAAAATGGGCCTTGAAGGAGATATAATATATCCTTTGTTTGGCCTGTATGAAGATCGAGTCAACAAAGTTTAGGAGCCTCGTATTGGAAAGGGGAAAGTCACAGGAGAGAATTTCAGGGTTGAAGAAGAGATTATCCCATCAGTCTCAGAAAAAAACGGTCAAGTGCCTAACAGAGTTCATTTTATGATTCACTGAGAGATAAACAGAATGTTAGTGGCACCATTAATCAACTGGAGAATTGGATGAACATCACAGACAAAATTGTCTCACCAGGAAAATACAAGGCATAGATATCCCAATATGGCGTATTTCAACGAAATCTTTGGACTCTACTTGTGAATGATGTACCACTGACATCAGTTGAATCGATGGAGCGACGGATCAGTACCTTCGAAGATGGCAGTTCCCAGAAGCTTCAGCAGCATTGGTTTGTACAGCATAAAAACAAAGTTGCAATTACAATTAACATCACTGTTGAGGAATTCAAGGTCAGGGAGTATCTGATTTTGCACCATAGTAATGATTCCAAGGTAAGGGAGGCAAAAGTGAACATCAAGACGGTCTGCAAAGAACACAGTACAGGAGACAGAGTCACGCCTTAGACAAGCCGACCTAGTGGAAATTGTGGCAATAGGCAGGTAGGAAATACACCGTCGAAGAACACACAAGAATGGTGCAGTATGAAGAAGCAGGGATGCTGGCTAAATTTTGAAGGAACCCGACAGAAGTTATCTTAGAAAGAAATCTAGATAACAGAGCCGCAGAGACTGCAGTTCCATCTAAAGTCGGTTTGCCAACGCCAGCCAATCTGACAATATGAAACATGAGGGCGCCCATTGCAGTCTGCAATCTTAGTTTTAGACAGGCCATACAGAGACGTCACTGTACGCCGGTGTAGGGCTTCAAATTGAGACCCTTTTCAGGGCCATTGAGCAGTGAGGGTTCTTTATCGTGCCCACGAATACCGTGACACGGGACCTACGTTTTTAAGGTCATGTCCGAAAGACTAGAAGAGCTCGGCACTTGGCACTTCTAGTGCCGTGCGCTTGGCAAAGGAACAGTCACTACTTATGTTTACGTCTTAGGTTTGACGCGGCGCCATGAAAGAGAATGGAACCCGGGCCTCCCGATCACGAAGCAAACATTCTACCACTTTCAATGCCGTTGGAGAACAGAACTGAAGAAGCCCATGAGCGGAAAATGAAAGTACCAGGAATTGGTTGTAGACTGTCAATAACGGAGCTGGAGAATATGGTGTCTTCCAGTGGAAGTTGGATGCCGTGGATTTGTAGGGCAATCTTGCGGATTGATGGTGAGACAGGCACTGAGAGACGGAAACTCTCCCTTCTCCCTGCGGTATATGAACGTTAGAACTAGAGTCGTGAATTTTGCAGTTTGATGTAGGACTGGCTCCTCAGTTTTATCGTGCAACTTGTTTTCCTGCTAGATGTGTGTGGAAAAAGATGATCTTTCAAATCGCTGATTTGGTTTCTTATATACCGTGTGTGTGTGTGTGTGGGGGGGGGGGGGGTAATACACATTTGTACAGATACAAATTATAAAAGAGGGTCCGTAGAAAGCCATTTAATTTTTTTTTTGAAAGGGGGATCAAACATTATTCTTGAAACAAAAAAATGGGGAGGAGGGGGTCTTAGACATAATTTTTGAGGGATCACATCCGTTAAGTAAACTTTTTGTATCTTTACTATATATGTCGACAAATTTATATATCATTTGGAGCATGCTCCTCCTCCTTTCAGGTCTGTTTCATTAGTTAAATATGTTTTGTTTTGAACATATTTTATTGTATAAACAAAAGGATTGGAAACAAGTTCTTTCAACTTACGAGTTCCTCTCCTTAAATATAACTATATGTCATGCAATTAAAATACATGTAGTGCATAGAATTTT